ATAGCTTGTCCCGCCCACTCTAAGTATTGATTGTTCACAAATGGGCGTATATCCCTATTGACATTGACTATACGGGTACAATTAATCTGGAGGGACTAAAACAAACATGCCATAAACGCACAAGGGGTAGAGCTACACAGCCAGGATACCCGTATCAAATACACCGGCATGGAATAACCATGTCTTATTTGTTTTATTTTTAGCCACCATCAAACACGGGTATATACTATATCTCGCTCGACAGTTTACAAGGCAGTAAAGCCAGCCACATTTCCATTTTCAAAATTCTCTGATAGGGTACCTTATGGTACCTTTCACAAGTTTATGTGTTTGTTGTTTAACGCACCCAGAAATATGCCAGCTATATGACGGCGGTCTGTAAATAATTAAATCTGTGTGTCAGACAATCCAGTGATTGACATCATGAACATCGATCATCCCATCTCATCTCATCTTGGGTGCGATTCATTTCCTAGATCATGGGTTGAAAAATGCATGACTTTCACCTGCAAAATAAAGGCATCTTAGTGCAATGAAAATAATGTTCAGGTGCTCTAAAGACTTGCTCTCCTTAGGCGTGCCATAACCTCATGCTCCTAAGTTAGAATCACAGAAGATTTTGTCAAAGCGGCGTTAAACTACTTCCACTCACATACTTATATATATTCCTGTTAGTGTTATGCTTATCTTAAAGGGATTGTCGCGACACCGGGTGTTAAGGTTATTATCCAAACCCGAGGTAATGTGTAGACCCGTGGGGATTCCGGTTAGGAATATAAGTCCCCAGCCATCTATGCTTGTCGTAAGAGGCGACTTAATGGAATGGATGAGCAGGATCTCTGACTGTGCTGATTGCCTGTCATCGTACCCAATTGCGTGGATCGATGCTCATGATGTCAGTCACTAGGCTGTCTGGTCCAGACTCGATTATTTACAGACCGCCGTCATATAGGTGGAATATTGCTGAGTGCGGCGTTAAACAACACATAAAAAAACATGACGTGTCATCTAAGTGTAGGTGTAGATTGTAGTCGTACGTCCCTTTGTAGAAATCCACAAGCATGGGAAGGCTGCAGACAAAACAAGGATCATTATCTGACCGATAAATAGATTCGAACACACGACTGTCGGATGCTGACGTCACCCTTCACAGCGAATTGCAGCGCTATAGACAATTAAGTAACACGTGCCCCCTTTTGTATGAGAATGTGTGCAGTAAGTGCGCGGCACTCAGCAGACAAAAAGAACCTAGTTCAAGGAGAAGGTTTCGGCACATCCTCATCATCATGAACAGGAACTGATCATGCACAGTGTGACTAACTAACCGTATCTGTATATCTATACAATATCAATGAGCTGTTTCGTGAAACAAAAATAGTTATATTTAGGACCTGTGGTACTGTACCGATGTAACATCGATCTTGCTGTGGTATTGTACCGATGTAACAGCGATCTTGCTGTGGTATTGTACCGATGTTACATTGATCTTGTTGCGATATTGTACCGATGTAACATCGATCTTGTGATATTGTACCGATGTAACATCGATCTTGCTGTGGTATTGTACCGATGTAACAGCGATCTTGCTGTGGTATTGTACCGATGTAACATCGATCTTGTTGTGGTATTGTACCGATGTAACATTGATCTTCCTGTGGTATTGTACCGATGTAACAGCGATCTTGCTGTGGCATTGTACCGATGTAACATCGATCTTGTTGTGATATTGTGCCGATGAAACAGCGATCTCGCTCCAATGTTGGTGCGATCGTACTGATGTTGTACTTATGTTACTGGTATTTTGGTCCGATGTTGCTGTATCACATGTAACTATCCTGGTATGTTACAGCACTGCTGCTAATGCTGTGGCGTTGCTGTGATGTTGAAAAGTTAGAATTTACGATTTAGTCACAGCAAGACCGAGCAAACATACACTTTAGATGGAACATCAACAGTCACGTTGATGATCGCATGTTTACCAAACGGATATTTTATACAAGTTATGCAATGATTTTAAAATCCTTTGAACAAAAAGGGGATGTTTACCCCCGAGTCATGTTTCAACTGTCCCCGTCGTAAATCACGGACACGTTATGCAGTTGTAGAGATGGTCAGGGCTCGGATACTGGAAAATGCAAACTTCGATCTTTTTCTTTACATTTCATTTAAAGAGAAGAATGCGGAGGCGTGACTGAACATGCCTTCAATCAGGAAGAAGAGTATCGACAATCCTCGAGAATAATAACATTACAACATGCCCCCCTAACGTGAACGTAACTCTAGATAATGTAACTGGTGTCACTGTTAAGTATTTCCAGACACGGGCTTCGGTGTGTTCCTTAGAAAGAGACATGATGTCTGAGGTCCCGCTCAAGGTCAACACACGCACACACACACACACACACACACACACACACACACACACACACACACACACACACACACACACGCACGCACGCACGCACGCACGCACGCACGCACGCACGCACGCACGCACGCACGCACGCACGCACGCACGCACGCACGCACGCACACACACACACACACGTTGGGATGTATGAGTGCCACGTTCTAAAATGAACTATCATCTACGGACATAATACTTTAGTCTACGTAGTAAGAAGTGAGTGAGTGAGTATGGTTTTATGCCACCTTTTAGCATATATCCAGCAATATCACGGAAGGGAAAAGCAGAAATGGGCTTCACACACTGTACCCATGTCGGGAATCGAACCGGGATGTTCGGCGTGACGGGCGAACGCATTAACCACTATGCTACCCCACTGCCCCCCACGTAGATGAAACTTACATCAACGGAATACACTCACATCTACGTAGAAGAAAGCATCATCGACTTTCGAATTATCGACTTAGGTAACAATATGTTCGTTGGGAATCAAAAATACTTCCGGGTCAGTTGTATATAACCTCTGGCTGAATTAATAATTGCCTGTGTGTTGGAACCAGGATATTCTCAACATTTCCGGGGAATCCACTAATTTTTCTTATAATTTTCTCGCTGTGTTGCCTGTTAAGCCTATTGGAATCTGTTTCGTCAGGGAATCGAGCCTGGGTATTCTCCGACATAGAGGTTGAATATTTACATGAGTGATACTTGCTGTTTTAACAGTCATGCTGCTTCACTGAAACTCTATATCAATTACAATGTGCACACTGGACTATGTTACAACAAAAGCCTTTCTTCTATAGCTTTACATTTAACGACATGTGGTTAGTTTCAGAAACTGCAATTCTGATACTGGCTGTAACACTATACCAACCGATGAGACATCCTTTATGAAACCCGTCGACAGTGAATGTAGTTTTGATACCGACGCTGACCCGGTACTGAATACCTCACCACAGTATTATGTCTCTTACCGCGGCTAAATAAATAAATTAATTACCCAAAACCTGACAGTGCATATCATCAACAATGGCAATGGCGGAGGTACGTATACAGGAATGGATCGGGCGTGAGTTTGAGGGTATGGCAGTCCACACACCATTCAGCGCGTCCTGGGAAATACAATACAATTGGGCAATTGCTCTAGCGTGGGTGGTTTCAAAGAGGGAATATATTTTGATGTTTCTTCACAAAACATGTCATCACAACTCTCACAAGTAGTGAGTGAGTGAGTATGGTTTTACCAATATTCCAGCAATATCACGGCGGGGGACAACGGAGATGGGCTTCACACACTGTACATTCGATCGGGAATCGAACCCGGGTCTTCTAGCGAACACTTTAACCACTAGGCTACATATACTACAGAGAGAAGAGGGGGGGGGGGGGGGAGTGAGTGAATGTTGGTTATTGCGACAGCCAACAATATCATGGCTGCCTCTAAACATGGCCTGGCACGGAAAATAGGAGACACAAAAACTGAGTGAGTGAGTATGGCTTACGCCGCTTTTAGCAATATTCCAGCAATATCACAGCGGGGGACACCAGAAATGGGTTTATCGCATTGTAACCATGTCGGGAATCGAATCTGGCTCTTCGGCGTGACGAGCAAACGCTTTAACCGCTAGGCTACCCGACCGCCCCCATAAAAACTGAGCAGCGTCCCACTCCACTGGGATATCATGGCAAATAAACGTCACAGCGCTTGACCCCAATTTCAGACAGTTCTTATGATAAACATAAGGCACAGATACATTGAAACCTCGTTAATCCGGATAGAGAGAGCGAGTGAGAGAAAGAGGGGGTAGAGAGAAGGAAGAGGGAGAGAAGGAAGGGGGGAGAGAAGGAAGGGGGAGAGAGAGAGAAGGAAGGGGAGAGAGAGAAGAAAGGGGAGAGAGAGAGAAGGAAGGGAGAGAGGGAGAGAGAAGGAAGGGGAGAGAGAAGAAAGGGTTAGAGAGAAGGAAGGGGAGAGAGAAGGAAGGGGGAGAGAGGAAGGAAGGGGGAGAGAGAGAAGGAAGTGGAGAGAGAGGAAGGGGAGAGAGAGAAGGAAGGGGAGAGAGAGAGGAAGGGAAGAGAGAGGAAGGAGAGAGAAGGAAGGGGGAGAGAGAGAAGAAGGAGAGGGAGAGAGAAGGAAGGGGAGAGAGAGAGAGAAGAAGGGAGAGAGAAGGGAAGGGGAGAGAGAGAAGAAGGGGAGAGAGAGAAGGAAGGGGAGAGAGAGAACGGGAGAGAGAAGGAAGTGGAGAGAGAGAGAGAGAAGAAGGGGAGAGAGAGAAGGAAGGGGAGAGAGAGAAGAAAGGGAGAGAGAAGGAAGGGGAGAGAGAGAAGGAAGGGGAGAGAGAGAAGGAAGGGGGAGAGAGAGAAGGAAGGGGAGAGAGAGAGGGAAGGGGAGAGAGAAGGAAGGGGAGAGAGAGAAGGAAGGGAGAGAGAGAGAAGGAAGGGAGAGAGAGAAGGAAGGGGAGAGAGAAGGAAGGGGAGGGAGAGAGAGAGGTAGAGACAAGGAAGGAGAGAGAGAGAGAGAGAGAGAGAGAGAGAGAGAGAGAGAGAGAGAGAGAGAGAGAGTACAATCGGTACTGGTTAAAAACAAGTCCAGCAATTCTGCATAATAATTTATTGTATTCCTCATGAGATCTGTCATACATATATTCTACATGTCAAAAACAGTAGCAGCTGCTGCATGCTGCATCTCCAGCTAGTCATCATTTACAGTATTTCAATAATTTAGTATCTGTTCTGTATCTCATGTGTCTGTGGACGACACACAACCATACACAGAGAATTAGGGTTGAGTTCCTGCCTCACCCATCCTCGTACCAGCAGCACGACAGGTCTGCAAGTTATGTACATCCATCTATAGTTTCTCCGTGTATCACATGACTGTAAGACTTGATAAACCTTATATGTACAATATTTAGTTCCGTGTGACAGATTGTCCAGGCACTGTATCACATGACTTTGCCAGATACAATACACTTAGTACAATATTTACATATCTGTATAATGTTTAGCAACACATGACACATATTGCTGAAGTTGTACATTTTGTTGATATAAAGTATATCCGTTATCCTTGTATGAAAAACTTTGATTTGTTTTTGTAAAATAACAATGTAGTAACAAGGAAAAAAAAGTCAGTGTACATATTGCAAGCATATGAAATTCCAGATTTGTTATTTTTATAATGTTCCATACATCCATTACTGTATAAGATGTACTAAAGGCCCATAGTTTCTCAGTAATGTGAACAAACACTGGTTGTGTTTGTTGCCAGTCACTTGCGTAGGCACATAAATACATACAGTGAGTGAGTATGGTTTTACGCCGCTTTTAGCAATATTCCAGCCATAACACGGCGGGGGACACCAGAAATGGGCTTCACACATTGTACCCATGTCGGGATTCGAACCCGGGTCTTCGGCGTGACGAGCGAACGCTTTAACCACTAGGCTAGCCGACCGCCATTTTCCACTTCTCGTTTGTAACTATTGCACGTATGAATAGAGGACGTATCCTTCACCACAGTACAACAAACCGTCTTTAGATTCATGCATTACATATCCACAGAATCGTAAAGGAACAATTAACTTTCATACCGTTATATATACCGTCGATAACACAGATACTTTGTCGTCAGGATAAAACATCCTTGCAAGACATCATGGTCACAATGGTTCGGTTCAATATATTCACCATACATCACAGTCCTGAGAGTTCAATTGTTCAAATGCATAATCCATGCCAGTCCCAATCAGTGCATGCCATAATTATTGCTCATATAGCTCAAGTCTCAAAACAGTTTCTATTCTAGGGAAGTTGAGATCTACCTAATGAGCGACGCTCAAAGGCTTCAGGTGTTGCCCACAATGCACTCGATCGCCTATCTGCCATACGTCTCACTGAATCCAACGACTCGAAAGCCCTTTCATCTTCCAGATCCTTGATGTAGAGGCCTACTTCAGCCACTGAGAATCTTTCATCGGCAACAACACACACGCATCCGTACAAAAGCTCAAAGAGAGCCTTTGACGTATCTCGATTTGGCAACGGCAGCATGGTGATTGGATTTACAAGCTCAATGAATACTGCCAATGACATTGTTCGCTGAGTATTGTATGGCCTACTTGGTTGCATGATTTCAGAAATTAACAGGCCCAAGCTGTAAACATCTGCCTCCTTGGTGTATACGTCTCCTCTGAGGACCTCCGGGCTCAGACAGGTGAAATCCCCGGCCTCTATGACGTCACGATCCTCCGGGAACTTGGCTCGACGTGGTAGGCACATGTTACTTAGTTTAACTTCTCCAGAGGAATTCACCTGTTAATTAAAACACTACCGTATACTTTGTAAAAGGTATTTGTAGGTTAAGTGTTGTAACATTTATAATTGTACCACAATTTCTACCAGTTGAAAAACAACAACATTTAAACCGTTTGATATTAAAATAGAGACAGTAAGCTGTAAACTCAGGGGATTAAACTCTACAACCGATCCACCCATTGAATTAACAAAGTGCATAAACTGTAGTTTTATTCACACAGACTCCGAAACTATCCTCAGATGGAAAAAATGTCTAAATTATGCTTACAATTCATTCTTAGGAGTCAAATTCATGGCATTGGAGGAATTAGCAAAGTGTAGATATTTTAACCTTGGGATAATTTGAAACAAACACATTGTTCTAATGACAAACGTTTTACGTACCATGACTGTGTCTGCGCTGAGCTCCATGTGCACCAGTTGGTTCGCATGAATATTCTCAAGTCCCTCGACAATGCCCTTCAGAAGCACGGGAACAGCTTTCTTCAGTTTGTAGGGGCACATCTGGTCTGTGATTGGCCTCGTGAGGTAGTCTCTTGCTGAATACAGTTTGTCCAGAAAGATGAAGGCTGCCAGAGACTCAACACGAGTCATTCCAATGAAGGTGGCGATGGATGAATTGTTGTCAAGGCATCTGAAAATGTCAAATAAGCAATACAATTAAAATGAATTTTGTAAATTGTATTTTGGGCGACCAATAAGAATACATTGTATGCTTGTGTATTATACTTGAATTCAAAAGAAGCAAGGAGAAAGCATTGATGGTTTTCTGAGAAAATGATATGGACGAATATGATTGAGTGTATTAGTTGGGTTATACTCTGCATCTCAAAATCATTAGCAGTATCCCTGCGTGGCAGCTTAAATTATGGAGGATAGACCAAATTACGCTCCAATCGTAGATATGTACTGTTGTGGTGAAACCCAAAACATGGGTATTGTGCTGACAAACCAAGGATCATAATCAGTATGAATATTGTATTCGATCCCTTGATCTCCGGATCCTGGAGCGTCTTAGGGATGCGACTCTGCACAGTGAATTAAGGTGTCTAGACGAATGGGCCAATGAAGAACAAGTGAAAATTTCACAACATAATGACTTCGAATAAGGGACCATTTAACACAAAGGGAAGCGGTGGATGGGATTTTGTACGGAGACTAGGTACATTTTCATTTCAAGGGCTTATTTTTTTGTATCGATAAAATCCAAGAAAATATAATTCGTAAAACAAGCCAAATAATCACCTGAGCTTTGCGATCTCTCTGAAGAGGACATCATCTGCTGGTTGATGGATATAGTACTTGGTGGTGATGGCCTCGGAAGTATCATCTATAGATAGAGTGCCCATTTGAAATCGTGACCAAAGCACCTGTGACACGAACATGGGCTTTTCACCTTGACCTTGTCTGTGACCTAAGTCAAGTTTTACCACAGAAGAATTGCGGATTCTAGGGTCATCAAATTGCATCATAATGTCATCTGGCATAATTTCTTTTATGTACATGTAGCCAAATCCCCTCACGTGATCCTTCTGTAGCTCCAGGCCCTCCATTGTCTTCTGGAGGTCGATCCTCTTGAGCTGAGCTCTTGAACCAAGGTCCGTGATCTCCACAATGAGTGCTTCAATGTTTTTCACAAACTTTGGTACATGGAGAGCGACCCTCTCTATTTCATTTACAATCCTTCCCGTGTACCTTGATATGAGCTTCAATGTAATTGCCTCATTGTTTGCGATATTTTCTGCAATCTTTATTGCCCTGTTGGACATCCATTCCATGGGGTCATTTGAATGTGGTATTCGTCTTGAATTTCTTTTTGATCTGTGTACCAAACGATCAATGTTATCTATTGCATCAACAGCTGTTCTGACAATGGCTTTGGACAGATCAACAAGGGGCACCGCACTCGATGGTTCCGTTTCAACAAATGTTCTTACTCTCTCAGTAAACGAACTGCTGAGGCCTCTTGTGAGAAGTCTTCTGAACGCCTCTGTGTTCGTATCCTCAATACAAAAGTCATAAGAACTATCAGAAGCATTTGACTGTGTTGAGTCTTTAAGATCGTTGGTGATGCTCGCCATTTTCTCTCCAAGATCACTCATCCTTTCAAATAATTTTGACCTCATCCTTTCCACAAAGTCTGACACAAATTCCTGGGTTAAATCAGATTCATCCAGGATGTCAATAATCCTCTGAATGATGATTGCATCTCTCTCCCTTTGTATCTTCATATCAGAAGCCTCTTCTGTGGAACGATAAAGGCCGGGAAGGTCCTCCACATCCCACTGTGAGGCGTTCAGTAGCCTCTTCATCTTTTTTGTCGTAAGGTAATTCCTGAGCCTACGGGAAAATATCGGAGGGTCTCTCTTGAGTTCTTCTTTCAAGCTTGTAACCATGCTGTCGGCATCAGATTGAAGACTGCCCAGTTTTTCAGTGGCTTGACTCAAAGTCCTCCTCAGGCCTCTATCTGTTTGGTTAGTTTGTGTGACGATTGCCCTCAAGTAGAATGTACATTCCTTCACGATATGTTTCAACCAGCTGTAATAAGAAAACAGATTCCAAATTCCTTATAGGATGTTATCCTCTCATTGATGTAGAATTACAACCAATATGACAGATTTTGTGAGAGTTTTAGTAAACAGAGAATAGTATTTAAGAAAACGTACAACTTTATGGATAACAACTTCTTGTTGCATCCATACTTATTGCATATAGGACGTTTTGATGTAGAGAATAACACCTTTATCAAGCTCCACTCTAGGTGTAAAAATCTACATAAAAACGCTGCTATGTGCCAAAAACAGACGCTGTTTTACATAAGGTTGTACGTGTTCTTATTTACTCACCAATTTCTAGAATGCCAATCAAACAGTGAGAATAGCATTTGGTATCCTGAAACTTCGACCTTGGCATCATAAACACACTTGTACAGTACATGACTGTTTTCTGTGATTATCTCTTATCAAATACTGATTATCATTCTTCAGATATGCATGAGGCTGGGGGAATTATTATTCCCAATTCAACACATAACAAAGGTTGGGACCTCAACCTTTGAGGGGCGGTCGGGTAGCCTAGTGGTTAAAGCGTTCGCTCGTCACGCCGAAGATCCGGGTTCGATTCCCGACTTGGGTACGATGTGTGAAGCCCATTTCTGGTGTCCCCCGCCGTGTTATGGCTGGAATATAGCTAAAAGCGGCGTAAAACCATACTCACACAACCTTTGAACGTCTTTGCTGAACATGGTATTGAATTAGGGATAGAAAAAGAAATCAAAATATCTTACCAATACGAGTTTGTGATGTCAACCTCTTTGGCCAACTGAAACACCCCATCCAGACATTGTAGCAGCGTGTTCAATTGGTCACTGTCAGAAGACTTTGACGAAGAGAAACAAACTTGCTTGTCTTCGAGTTTTGGCCACACGCCTCGCAGCTTGTGAAGAGCGTTTTCCTTGACTTTGGCTTTATCTTTGTCGTCGATTAGGTCCCAGCGGTTGCAAACGAACACAGCTGCTTTCGGATTAAAGTAGTGACTCTCGTCCTGGTGGTCGTTTTTGATGTTGAGGATGCTTTTAAGGAACCGTATTAACTGTAATAAAAGGGGAAAGTTGTAAGAATGTTTGTTAAATAAAAGGCAAAGACAAAAGTAAACCAAAGCCCGATTTTCACCATTTTAAAAAAACCCAACCACACTACAGTTACATCAGATCTCTGTTGACAGTCGTCACTCAGTTTTGATGTATGATGTTACATCGCGAATATATTTCTACCAATATCCATCCCATTAAAGAGAAAGTGAATCAGAACCAGCATTGACATTTTCATTACTGGGCCTCACAACATCGGCCTCCGAGAAAGAAAGTGACCATCACCTGAAGGTGTAAAAACAATTTAAGGATAGAAATTATGTTTCTTTACCCTGTCCTCCTGTACTCCACCACTGCTGTCTGTTTTGATGATATAGATGAAAGCTGCTACGTGATTGTTGGAGACGAAGTTTCTGACAACCGTATCCATGGCCTCGTTCTCCCCAAACCCAGGACTGTCAATAATCGTAACGCCGCACTAGAAAAAAACCCCAACATGTTGCATGGATGCAGTTGGTGATTTATTGTTGGGTTATATTATGAGTGAGTTTGTTGGGTTTAAAGCCGCTTTTAACAGTATTCCAGTCATATCATGGCGTGTCAGCCTATTGTGGGAGGAAAGCCCGAAGTGATGCAGGTCTCAGACGTGTACCAATTCGGTGAAACCCACAAGCACGGTGTTGACAAAGCTAGAAACAGAATCGGGGCGAGCAAGTGTTCGTACCCACAATCATAGGTTTCTGGCGTGCCCAAGGGACGCAACTTTGCACAACGAATCGCGGCGCCTCAGACGACTGGGTCACCCGTTACCCCATGAAATGGAGATGAAATCTGAGGTTCGATGAAAGAGGAAGCAACACCCCATCAAACCTTATTTCAAAGACCTTCAACAAGCTATATCACACAAAAGAGTCGAACTGTTTGTTTGTGTCATCAATAGTTGGAAACGGTTTGAGCATGAAGTATACAATATAATACTAAAATCTTCGATTACAGGGGTGAAACTTCAGATAGTGACTAAGAGAATGTTGGTTATTGAGGCAGCCAACAATATTCCAGCAATGTCGCTGCAGCCAATAAAAAGAATCGGTCAATTCAAACTGGGAACATAAATACATGACACTTTTTATTGATACGTTCTTTTATTCTTTGTAGCCACGTTTCAGAGCTACTCCTTGTCCCTTCATAAGGTTAATGGTGTCAACAAGTCCATATCCCCATCTCAGTCAGCACTTAAGACAAGACATCAGGTACTGGGGTCTTTCATTATTAGTGAGTGAGTGAGTTGGGTTTAACGCCGCTTTTAACAGTATTCCAGTTATATCACGGCGTGTCAGCTTAATGTGGGAGGAAAGCCCAAGTGATGCAGGTCTTAGACGTTTACTACTTTGGTGAAACCCACAAGCACGGGTATGGTGCTGACAAACCTAGAAACATAATCGGGGCGAACCGGGATTCGAACCCACAATCATAGGTTTCTGGCGTGCCCAAGGGACGCAACTCTGCACAGCGAATCGCGGCGCCTTAGACGACTGGGCCACCCGTGCCCCATCTTTCATTATTAAGTCTGAACACAAACACTGATATATGTTGTAAAGAAAACATATCCGAGCTGACAGATACCTACAATCATCAACGACTCATAAAGAGCGAAACCTCGTTAGGCCGGACCTCGTTAATCCATCAGCCCTGTTGAACGGACTATCACATCTATACGTCTATAATAAACGAAAAACATTATTCAGTAACGATGAATCGTTATTCTGGACTAGGATCGATGCTGTCCGGATTAACGAGGTTTCGCTGTATTTCAAAAGATATCGCCTTTCATATGCAATTACCTTGAGAATATCAGCTGGAAGAAGGACCACGACTTCCTGGAAAGATGACCCAGCTTCCCTTGCCTCCTCTTGCTGAAGGGCAACGGTCCCATCCAGGAACGCTCTGGTGGCTTTGTGGTTCTCAAAGGTCCTCTGTTCTTGCCTGCCATCACCGTGGACGACTATCACCTGGTAGGTGTTGGAGTACCTCAGTTTGCAGATGCTGGATGTACAGCTCAAGATGCTCTTCGGCAGGATGTCCATCCCCAAGATGAGGTTCAGGAGAGTGCTCTTCCCTGCGTTGGTTTGTCCTGGAAAAACAATTATCCTTGACATAAGCGGGCTGGGTTTGTCCGTCGACACGAATTAGGTTTCAACAAATATGATTTTTACAATCCATGAAAATTATTTCAGGAAGTATTTAGGGAGAACGAGGTTTGGATATTTTGATGATGTGTTGTGTGTATTGGGTGAGTGAGGGCGTATTTCACTGATATCTTTATATAGGAGGACAGACCAGCGGCACGTTTGCCACTTTGGCGAGACATTCACTCCCAGGGACGGTGCCGACAAACCATGAATCACGTTACCAGGGAGACTCTACAAAGACTCTATGATATTACCTACGACTTTCGGATTCATCGATATTGGGCAAGGGACGCAACTCTGCACAGTGATTTGTGGCACCTTTAACAGCGCTCCTATACAGTTAATGTCAGTTTGTACATTTTACTTATTCAAAATAGACAAAAATAAATAGTAGACAGTAGGTAAAGAAAGTCCCTTTTGACATCCAGCAATTTGTTTGTCAGTTATGAGTGGAGACAGCAACATTTAATGAGACTGCCAACTCTTTGTAATTATCACTGGTAGTAGAAATGAACAGCTAGGAATATGTAGGGAAGTCTGAGGCCAGATGCTTCAGTTGTACGTATTTTGACTAACGTACCAGCAATTAGAACATTGCAGACTCCACTCCGTAGTTCACGCGTGCGTTTGAGGAAGTCTTGTGACAGGTCCGTATCTGATCCTTCTTGTCTGAAGATATTGTTCAAATGGGTCAAACTATGACACAGGCTGTTGGAGACACAATTGATGATCTTCACCAGAGCTTCTCGTTTCTGCTCATTTTCGGCTTTCATTTTATCCAGTCTTTCATCACGCTGTAAGATATAAACGTTTACTTTTACAGCTTTTGTTCTGGGGTATATAATTTAAATATAGGTGAGATTTTGGGATTGGTTATAAGACATATGTAAATTAGAAATATCAAGACAATAAACAATAAACTATATATATATATATATATATATATATATATATATATATATATATATATATATAGTCTTTTGTTATTGTTTATTGTCTTGATATTTCTAATTTACATATGTCTTATAACCAATCCCATATATATATATATATATATATATATATATATATATATATATATATATATATATCCTATTTGTGTACATTAATCAGGTTTTATACTTTAACCTTTTACTGTTGAGTAAACATTATCGTACATAAACATCAACTGTCTATATGTATACCATACCCCCCCCCCCCCCCCCCCCCCCCAATACTTCACAATTCTGTTCATCACTTGCTCGCTAACGGTGTTTGTTTCTTCACCGGTACGTCGCAGTCATTGTAAAATAGAAATTGTATAAAAGCTAAATGCCACTTGAAGAAGTTAAGAAATGTGAGTTGACCTCATTTATTCTAATATATGAAATGTATTTTTCCAGATTTTCCAGGATATTGATTTGCTTATTATGACAGAATGACTTAGGATGACAGAATTATTTATAAACAGTCCTCGCTTATATCTGACGGTTTATTTACATAGTGATTCGAATTTTTACCTTAGGTCACTGATACGTTTTATTTAAATATGTAATCCTATATTTCTAAAGGTAAACATGATCGAATCGGATACAAATGAAGAACTTACGTTTCAAATATTAATGACATTTATTGTATGAGTTAAGATAGTCTTATTGAAAAAAATCATAAAAAGATTTAAACATATTTCTGTATACTTTGTTTCCGACAACTGTACATAATTAATTACCTTTGGGTCTCAATTAGTCAAATGTTCTTGTATGTAACAGTTTGTGTCGGTCATTGATTCTGATACCAACATTTCGTCTAGACTGTGGATATTTGCTTCATGCACATCAACTTTATGGCATAAACCGTACATGTTGACTTCTGAGTAAACCCCTATTGTAATTACAAGCAATGAAACCATTTCAACAATCTGAAGACGATTGTATGATTCCGACTTTAACACGAGCATGTGTTTTTGATGATACCAGGTGGTCGTGAAAAGAAGAGCATATTCTGCTCCACGGGGGGCCCCTGTCACAAACACGTGCAAAGGTAAGTCAATTTTTTGTATCAGGAAGACATGGCAGCATATAGTACAAGTTAAAAAAGGAATTTGCATTGGGCATAAATTTGGCTACTATAAAACTGTTTGAAAACTTTGCCAACGAAAACTAAAACTAAGACCATACAACTTTCGAGTTCGAGTCATATGACGTAAAAGAAAACGACGCTGTGGGTCCGACATTCTAAATGCTCCCCCGACGAATATTAAACGACCGTCAAAGGCATTTAACGACCATTTATCCAATAGAAACATATCATGACACCTGTAGATGTCCAGAGGAATACTGTTAATTTCATCATCCTGTAACACCTGTTGAACACGTTCTGACCAGGAAGTCTTCGGCATCGTTTTTTTCAAAACCACATTTGTTGACAAATCAAATCATCGGATTTTAAAGTACCTGAGTCAGGTCAAGTGCCTTTCTTATAATATCCTCGCTTCAAAAGCTGCCACATTATAGATAATCACATAAATGGTAAGTATTGTTGCTCATTTAACAAACCGTAAACCAGCATCTCTTTGTGAGGGGACATAAAATTCATGGATAGTTAAACTCATTAGACCCTTATTTTATGCATGCTTAAATCGCAATAGGTACGCGGCACAGCTGAAGCAGGAAGTCGCTATGGCAATGATGCACACACACACACACACACACACACACACACACACACACACACACACACACACACACACACACACACACACACACACACACACACACACACACACACACACACACACACACACACACACACACACACACACACACACGTTGGGATGTATGAGTGCCACGTTCTAAAATGAACTATCATCTACGGACATAATACTTTAGTCTACGTAGTAAGAAGTGAGTGAGTGAGTATGGTTTTATGCCACCTTTTAGCAAAATTCCAGCAATATCACGGAAGGGAAAACCAGAAATGGGCTTCACACATTGTACCCATGTCGGGAATCGAACCGGGATGTTCGGCGTGACGGGCGAACGCATTAACCACTAGGCTACCCCACCGCCCCCTACGTAGATGACAATATGTTCGCGGGGAATCGACAATACTTCCGGGTCAGTTTTATATAACCTCTTGCTGAATTAATAATTGCCTGTGTGTTGGAACCAGGATATTCTCAACATTTCCGGGGACACCTAGTGTCTTCACTGATTTTTCTTATAATTTTCACGCTGTGTTGCCTGTTAAGCCTATTGGAATCTGTTTCGTCAGGGAATAGAGCCTGGGTATTCTCCGACATAGAGGTTGAATATTTACAGGAGTGATACTTGCTGTTTTAACAGTCATGCTGCTTCACTGAAACTCTATATCAATTACAATGTGCACACTGGACTATGTTACAACAAAAGCCTTTTTTCTATAGCTTTACATTTAACGACATGTGGTTAGTTTCAGAAACTGCAATTCTGATACTGGCTGTAACACTATACCAACCGATGAGACATCCTTTATGAAACCCGTCGACAGTGAATGTAGTTTTGATACCGACGCTGACCCGGTACTGAATACCTCACCACAGTATTATGTCTCTTACCGCGGCTAAAGAAATAAATTAATTACCCAAAACCTGACAGTGCATATCATCAACAATGGCAATCTCGCGGAGGTACGCAGTCCACACACCATTCAGCGCGTCCTGGGAAATACAATACAATTGGACAATTGCTCTAGCGTGGGTGGTTTCAAAGAGGGAATATATTTTGATGTTTCTTCACAAAACATGTCATCACAACTCTCACAAGTAGTGAGTGAGTGAGTATGGTTTTACCAATATTCCAGCAATATCAAGGCGGGGGACAACGGAGATGGGCTTCAAACACTGTACATTCGATCGGGAATCGAACCCGGGTCTTCTAGCGAACACTTTAACCACTAGGCTACATATACTACAGAGAGAAGAGGGGGGGGGGGGGGGGGGGGGGGGGGGGTCGTCCAGCACCAACTTATCAAACCTTACTTTAAAACCTCTCAACTAGATATGTCCTGCATTTAAGTCGACCGTACTGCTTGTGTCAGCAATATTACGAAATAGTATTGATTGTGACGTCTAAAATATGAACTTGGTAAAACTTCACATAGCGAGTGAGTGAATGTTGGTTATTGCGACAGCCAACAATATCATGGCTGCCTCTAAACATGGCCTGGCACGGAAAATAGGAGACACAAAAACTGAGTGAGTGAGTATGGCTTACGCCGCTTTTAGCAATATTCCAGCAATATCACAGCGGGGGACACCAGAAATGGGTTTATCGCATTGTTACCAGTGCATATCATCAACAATGGCAATCTCGCGGAGGTACGTATACTGGCGGAGGTACGTATACTGGCGGAGGTACGTATACTGGCGGAGGTACGTATACTGGCGGAGGTACGTATACTGGCGGAGGTACGTATACTGGCGGAGGTACGTTACTGGCGGAGGTACGTTACTGGCGGAGGTACGTTACTGGCGGAGGTACGTATACTGGCGGAGGTACGTATACTGGCGGAGGTACGTATACTGGCGGAGGTACGTATACTGGCGGAGGTACGTATACTGGCGGAGGTACGTATACTGGCGGAGGTACGTATACTGGGGGAGGTACGTATACTGGGGGAGGTACGTATACTGGCGGAGGTACGTATACTGGCGGAGGTACGTATACTGGCGGAGGTACGTATACTGGCGGAGGTACGTATACTGGCGGAGGTACGTATACTGGCGGAGGTACGTATACTGGCGGAGGTACGTATACTGGGGGAGGTACGTATACTGGCGGAGGTACGTATACTGGCGGAGGTACGTATACTGGCGGAGGTACGTATACTGGGGGAGGTACGTATACTGGCGGAGGTACGTATACTGGCGGAGGTACGTATACTGGGGGAGGTACGTATACTGGCGGAGGTACGTATACTGGCGGAGGTACGTATACTGGCGGAGGTACGTATACTGGCGGAGGTACGTATACTGGGGGAGGTACGTATACTGGCGGAGGTACGTATACTGGCGGAGGTACGTATACTGGCGGAGGTACGTATACTGGCGGAGGTACGTATACTGGCGGAGGTACGTATACTGGGGGAGGTGTATCCACGTACCTGTGATACATTTCTGTACATATTTGTGGAATATAAAAACTACACTGTAACTATTAAAACATTTAACAAACTTTTAAATAGAGAAACATCCTAGTTTACGTACGTTTAGAATATCAGCAAACGGGAGTATGTATATTCCATTTCTGAATAATCGGTGTTTAACAAACAATGAAATTGAAAACACCAAGAGCCCCTATGAATATGTGCCGCTTTGAACAGTATTTCTGTAATTTAGCTCAGTGTCAGCATTCATCTGATATATTACCGACTGCGGCGTAAAACACCATTCAGCTACTCATATGCAGAAAGGGTACAGTTGATCCATGTCATCGAGACGCGATAAAACACAAGACAACCAATTCTCCAACAGAAATACCTCCTTCCTAAATGGATTAAACAGGATTAGAATTAAAATCTTTATATATGTCCTTTTTCATAAATATATCGTGAACAGATATCCCCATTTAGAGCGAATATTACGCACCAAGGCAGTACTGAATACAAGCGTTAAGTCTCAAAACTAAAAATGCGGCCATCATGTAGATATAGGCATTAGAGTGACATTTGTGTTCTGTGGTGGAGGTATGTGCATATCGGATGTTATATCCCATTATAATGATGTATGTATGTATGAATTATTCAATAGTTGGTAAGAAATACCGCTGGACTTTCACATTATCCATAAACACAACGAATGATAATGCAAGTCGTCTGCAGCGAGTGTGAAACTGCATGTATTTCAGACGGCATAGGTCGTATGCGATGTCCCGCGTGCCGTTGATCCACCTTTATCTCAATCTGTTGAAACTGAATCCGACTAGGATTTGAGGATAAAATAAAAGTTTTCTTTGTCTACAAATTGTATTATGGATACCTGTCTTGTTGGTAACATTCTCCCTGTACCACATCTAACGTTTCACAAATGGTGATAAATCGAACGTCTGAACCTAGCCTGCAAAAAAAACATCAAACTAGTTCATGTTTAAGTGTTTGATCATATCAAGTTTCCCATGTATGTTCCTCTGTACTTGTATGCAGCAGGATCTCTGTACTTGTACACAGCAGGATCTCTGTACTTGTACGCAGCAGAATCTTTGTACTTGTACGTAGCAGGATATCTGTATAACTCAGCAGGATCTCTGTACTTGTACGCAGCAGAATCTTTGTACTTGTATGCAGCAGAATTTCTGTATAACGCAGCAGGATCTCTGTACTTGTACACAGCAGGATCTCTGTACTTGTACACAGCAGGATCTCTGTACTTGTACACAGCAGGATCTCTGTATAACGCAGCAGGATCTCTGTACTTGTACACAGCAGGATCTCTGTACTTGTACGCAGCAGGATCTCTGTAGTTGTATGCAGCAGAATTTCTGTACTTGTACACAGCAGGATCTCTGTACTTGTATGCAGCAGGATCTCCGTAGTTGTACACAGCAGAATATCTGTACTTGTACGCAGCAGGATCTCTATACTTGTACACAGCAGGATCTCTGTACTTGTACACAGCAGAATCTCTGTACTTGTACGCAGCAAGATCTCTGTACTTGTATGCAGCAGAATTTCTGTACTTGTACACAGCAGGATCTCTGTACTTGTATGCAGCAGGATCTCCGTAGTTGTACACAGCAGAATATCTGTACTTGTACGAAGCAGGATCTCTGTACTTGTACGCAGCAGAATCTCTGTACTTGTACACAGCAGGATATCTGTACTTGTACACAGCAGGATGTCTGTACTTGTACGCACCAGTGAGGAAACCCACGATCATGGGTATGGTGCTGACAAACCTAGAAAGGTAATCAGGGCGAACCGGATTCGAACCAACGATCATAGGTTTCGTGCACGCCTAAGGGACGCATAGCGAATTACGGCGCCTCGTTGGGTAACTAAAAATCTAGAAATCTATTGACTAATGTATGACCATCTTTTTTGCTATTAGGTAGTTATCCCACTTTATATTATTTAATTATTTGAAACATATCACAACCAAAAGTCTAACAGGTTGCACCAGGATATTATTCTGATTAATTCCCCCCAAACGTATCGTATATAATGAAAGCACGTAAATAACAATTTTCTACACTCCTTTGTCTCACCGTTTGCTAAATAATAGACTAACGCTTGGTCTATGGAAACATTTCTTTCATATAATATTATAGCAGTAATGATTAAAGCTTATCAGTTTTCTATGGGTGACATGAAAAAAAGCCACAACGATTCTTTTCATAACAATAAGAGTCCATTGTCCTAGTCCGAAGCGTTTCAAACCTTTACTAACGTCGGACATGCAAAGATTCAGGCAAATCCTTCGAGTATTTGAGACTGCACATGGTATTAGTTCCTACTGTCCCAAATACTTTCGGTGAATATAAAGAAAGTCTTTCTTTGTATGTATCATGGATTATGGTAAAACATCTTTGAGGCAGAGATATTTCTAGGTCAGGTGAGAAAATCAGTGGAAGTGAATTGGCTCATTGACCATAATTGAACGATATCAGATCATCTATATACCTGAAGCTTACGATAAACTTCTTGGCCTAATTCACGTGTTTTGAGTTTGTCAATCCAAGCAGACGTCCCGATTCTTTGCACAAAGAAACAGATCAGCAACGAGGGAGCACTGAAGAATCCAAACATGCTCAAACTATATAATTATTATACAAAAACTCATTTAGAGTAGGTTTGATGACATTCTCCTGCAGGACTAAATGACACCTTATCCTGGTGGTGATATAGATCGAGAGTAGGGAAGTGACAGGGTTATATTTTCTCTCCCTATCATTTTACGTTCTTAGCGCAGAAAGAAATGACGGCCAATAGAGTCGACAAGTTTTAACTATATGTCTTTCAGCCGACCGCATGGTAATATTTATTTATGTGTCTTCAACAAAAAGAACTTAAACAGTACTTTCATAATACTTAATGAGACGGCACGTCCAAACGCTTGCAAAGTATTGCAATTCATCGAACATTACAGTGGGGGTAATGGAGTTAATGTACTTGGTCATTTGTAGGAATAAAATGTAGTGTGATCACCATAAACGAAAATATGGAGACGGCTAAAATCCACATATTTCTACCAAGGGGGTGCCCTATTTTCTGTTGTGTTACTTGCAGGGTAAACAAAGGCATATCATATAACAGATAAGTAAGCAAATGCCCTCAAGCTGTCTCTCATTTTAATGAGTATTTGCTTTTCGGATATTGTTGTAAAGTATACAATATTAATTGTTATAAAGATAAATTATTTGCATTTTAGACTCCAACTGTCCACTTACGTGAAATAGTAAACTTTCATTACGTCAGTGGAGTACAGCAGTGACATGTGCTATCTCAAGTAGTAAATACAATAGTCGTCTAATCGTCTTTGCGTTGTTCTGCCAGTGCCAAATTGAGGAGATTAAGAGTTTTCAGTTTTTTCTCAGGTGTTGTTTGGTGTTTGATGCTCGGGATTTTCACTTCACGTTAGCATATACTTGATATTCAGGTAGATAGTGCCGAATACCTGACCATATTATATTCATTCAAAAATATATTTTCCATTTTCAACTGAGAAGTGTGTGAGCAATATTGAAGGGACAGCTGAAACGTACAGTCGACGATTCCATTTGCGTCATCAAATATTATTTCCATTACAACTACGATGAACTGGTTTGAATTGGAGTCACACACAAACAAATTAAACATTTTGAACAGTAAAACATTTAATTAATATATTAGCTAAAGATAACTGGTTTCTTTCACTTATATGACATTTTATTTACTCAGTTTGAGAATAGAAGTGAAATTTTGCTTTCTCAAGTAACAAGGGTTCTGTGTCGTTTAATCCCGGGTCGGCGCAAGTCTCGTTTTTGCAAGAGGCAGATAGTACATTTAGGTGATATCATTGCATTTCACATTTTCCGGGTGTTATTGGGAATTTGATGCCCTGGAATTTCATTATGCATTATCCGAAGGTTTCAAACGGTAAGACTTACTATCAGATTTACGGCTGTTATTAAATATATCACCTGCACATAGTTTTCGTAATTTCCCATAGGAGTACGAAATAAATGTTCTATTAACCAAAATAACCTTTCTTACGCTGTGAAAAGACACTTCTGGGGTTTGAACAATATTCAATCGCTTGTTTAACCAAACAGATTGTGGTACACACTATCTTTTCTGTACAATTATATTTTCAGGGACAAAAGTGTCCTTCTCCACCATCGGGGGCATCAATGTCATTAGGAAGCCATATACATGTTGTTCTTTTTCATTTGTACAAGAAAATATACCTGTTTATTGTATTTTAGGCCTTCGGCCAACAAACAAATGTTACAGTGAAGACAAAATATACAGCAACGTGCACAAATAAACTTTACATGCAGTGTTATATCAGTTTTTATACACAATAGTTGTCAAGATGTTCTTTCTTAAGATCGTTGCTTGCTTTAAATAAAGTGACGAGTGTAGAATATCGGTATCATTTCTAGAGGTCATGATAGGAGAGAATGCAATTTCTTGTGGTTTACGGAAAATACTTGTTGGGTATATATTGGAGTCTCAAATCACAAAAAAATGACATGTACAAATTAAAGTGCATTTAATTTTCTATACCTTTTTTACATAACACACGTGTTATCGTATTTTCATTGAAACCTATTTTTCTACATTCATATATTAATTCTGACAAACCCAATCTAAATCTGACAACTAAAACACGTATTTTTCGAGAAGTTAGTACGGAAAGGTATTTATCAGGTTCAATGGTTTCCAAGTTTAAAATAAGCAACGATTACTTTATTCCAAACATTTTTACCATGTAGAGACAGATCTAATCTGGATTTCCGAAAAGCAGCTCTGAAGACAATAAACTAAGCTTAAAACATGACATGTTCATAAACATCAGCATCAGTGCCAGTATAGAATACCCGGAGTAGAAGCAGCATCAAACACCTCTGTAACAGTTCGTCTTGGTCTCGGGGTGGTCGGGTAGCCTAGTGGTTAATGCGTTCGCTCGTCACGCCGAAGACCCGGGTTCGATTCCCGACATGGGTACAATGTGTGAGGCCCATTTCTGGTGTCCCCCGCCGTGATATTGCTTGAATATTGCTAAAAGCGGCGTAAAACCATACTCACTCACTCACTCACTCACTCACTCACTCGTCTTGGTCTCCATATCGAAAGAATAGAAAAAAATGTCTTACCCAAAGACTGTGTGTGTCGCGTTTACTTTTTGTCTTCATCCCATTTATTATGCGCACCTTCATGTCTTCAGGAGATGTGCAGCCTTCAAGAGACACATTCAGGTTTTCTGCTGTCTCGAGAAGTTCGGACATATCCTCTATATCATTCACATAGTCAGTTGTCACACTTCGCATCCTTACTAGGGTTGGCTTCATTGTCACAGGACTATTGAACTAATTCTTGAACTGACACGGACTGCTGCCTCATCCAAAAGTTGTCGTCTGTTCTGACCTGCGGTCTGCTCTGAACTGTCGTCTGTTCCAGGTTCCTCTTCTTCAGAACCCACTCGGCACCTATTTAACTGATTCTGCTCACTATTTCTGGCCAATGTGTTCTGTTGTTAACGCTGTATATTGCCGTCCTTTACAAACGTTGTCCTCTGCTTTTAAAGTTTACATTTGCTATGTGCATTGTGCACTGTCGTCTGCTATTGCAAGCAGCGGGTGGTATCAAATCACGCAGAAACTATTCACAGCTGCCTGCACACCGGCTGTGAAGTGTTTTAAAATGCACCCAAAATATGTTATATCCATAGACCACAGAGAACGTGAAATCCTGAAATCATAGACAAACGAAACGAAAATTAGGAATTACCAAGGCCCAGACCAATGAAGTATACTCAAGTGTGATATATGACGGTAAGGTGGAAGTGTCTCGAGTTAGAGATATAGATAAATGAGAGTTTGGGTTCCTAAGTGCACAGCTACAAAGGCCCAACTGTAGATTGTATTAAGCATAACCCTAGAACACATGTATGTATGATGCTTACATGCCTATTCTTATCACATTTTCTGCAAAAATCAGCTTTTCCAAACTAATAACTACAAAATGGATATAAAACATTAACATGACTTCAAATGACCCATTACCACATCGATATAACCCTTCTGATCCGCGAGTTACAGTATAACATCTGTCAAAATGACATCAAATTTAAAAGTTTAACTCATGTCAAAGCTATCCGCGAAAGACACAACATTTTGAAATGACCCTATTCAAATTTAAATCACGAATAAAACCAACGAAATCAGGTCAGGTAAACACTACCCCAGCTATTAAATACATGTGCATAAGTTCAACCACCACAATGAATACATATTCTTCCAAGGCCTAGGGTAAAAACTATTGAACCTATTACACAGCGTACACGTTGAAGCTATTATATAAAACGTATTAGCGTTATGCTGGCTTACCTCCGCGATGGCCAGTCGTTCTGGTGTGAGCAAGTTGTAATGATATATATAGTTAGTGTTGGTGTGTCATTGGAAATACAATACGCTATCATGACATTGCGCTTACGAGTCAGTGTGATTGGCTGGGAGAGGCTGAAACACGGAAGTAAATAGTTCTGTGAAAGAACGTGTTAATGCATTCACTTTGCTGTAATTGCATTTCCAAGAAACGTCTTCTCGTAAATGGTGACGTGTGAATTAAAAAAATATCTTCACAAAATATGTTCAGATAGATAAATGAATTAGCGAAACTTTACTTGTATCCGCGTGTATGTTAATGGTATCCATATTATATTATATTTTTGACGATGGAATGAAGTTACAGATTTCTTACAATGGCGTGATGTGTAATGGAGTGTAACGTCGCGTTGAAGATTGTTTCACTTGTTTAGCGACTTGTATGTGTGTGTAGTATGTGCGTGTGTGAGTGTGTGTGTGTGCGCGCGCGTGCGTGCGTGTGAATGTGTGCGTGCGTGCGTGTGTGTGTGCGTGCGCGTGTGTGTGCGTGCGTGTGTGCGTGAATGTGTGTGTGTGCGTGCGTGTTTGTGCGTGCTTGCGTGTTTGTGCGTGTGTGTGTGTGTGTGTGTGTGAATGTGTGTGTTTGCTTGTACCAGTCCAAATTTATGTCGGTTTTATAGTGCTACCTCACTGAGATACCATGCCGTAGTTTAACATGGACACCCCACTCAGGCACAGTATACTGACTCCAAGCTGATCGGTCCCTGTTTCATTCCCGTAATGCCGAGCGTCAGGCAGGGTAACAACAAGTACCGTCTTTTGCTATGCCATGGCTAGGGGGACCTATCGCTCTCCGGGCAGTCGCTGTATCCACTACATGCGGATGCGACCCTGTTCTTACATTGACTGATTGAAGCTAACATAAGTATAAGATAGGGAAATAGGGATGTGACCATAGAGTGTTGATTGGGTTTGGTTTGGGTGGATAGGGTGGTTTGAGTTAGGGTTGGTGAGGGTTATCAGAGAAAATGGCAGGCGGGGGATGTCCCTCATCATTTTGGAACCTCTTGAAGTAAAAGAAAAATATTTAACCACAACACCAAGAAATAAGTGCTAAAAGGAGACTCCGTTGCACGATTCGACAATATCATAAACATGTGTTTATGAATCACTATCGAAGGGATAAACTAAAACTGGTCGTTACTGATAGTGTGATTCAATGTTATTATGCAACTTCGGTAATTCAAGACGCTAACAATGATGTTGGGTGAGGGTAAATTATTGACTTCACTTGATGAAACAACACAGGCTCATCAAGTACTCGTAAAAGACGATAAGTAAGGAACTGCATTTTGTAAGTACACCTCTTCGTTGGATGGTCGCTATCACGGGAGCATCCGGTAACTACTCCGAGTTCTTTCCCATACATCAAAGTATTATATGAAAGCGTGGGTGTGGAAGGGTTTGTATTTTGCGTGGGCAGCGTTCGTTCTGCCCAATCAGTTGACTGTGTGTTGTTAAACGCCGCACTCAGCAATATTCCAGCTTAATGTCCACGGTCTGTAATAGTCGAGCCTGGACCAGACAATCCAGTGACTGATATTATGAGCGCCGTCGGATCAACAAAGTCACCGAGGCTGACCGTCCGATCCACTGAGTCGTCTAAACGACAAGCATGGGTTTCCTTAGGACCAAGTGTGACCCCAAATGCTCACCAGTCGTAGGACTAAGGTCGCTTTGTTGAACGGGATCAAGATTGAGTATGATATTACGCCGCTTGGCATTATTTGAGCCACGTCAGGAGTGGATGAATGAATGTTGATTTACGCCTCAGACAGCAGTACTTCAGCTTTATCACAGCGACCTGTAAATAATCGAAGCAGACCTGTGGTGACATCATGAGCAACGTCGAGGCATGATCACAGAATCAGTGAAACACTGTAACCATCCGATCCTCAATACTCACGATTAGCCCTCATTTCGACAAGCACGGGTTCAGGGGACCTGTTCTGGCACATACTCCCTACAGAGGACAAGACATTGGACACCGGCATTGGGTATCACATACTGAACCCATGAACAGAATTTAACCCTGGTCTTCGGCATGACGACGACACGCCTTCACAGGTAGCCAGACAACCATCCCAGCCAGGAAACCCCAGTGCCCGTGAAGATCCGTGTTAGAATAGGTCTTCAGCAACATATGTTTGTCATAAGAGGTGACTAACGGGATCGGGTGGTCAGACTCGCTGACTTGGTTGATGCATGTCACCGTATCCCAATTGCGTGGATCGATGCCAATGATCTCAATGACTGTATTGTTTGGTCCAGACTTGACTGTTTACGGACCGCCTTCAAGTAGCTGGAATATTGCGACAAACAAACAAAGACACAAACAAACAAACAAACAAACAAACAAACAAGCAAGCAACTCCAACTCCCAACAGGAAACTCGAGAGGCGGAGCTGCGCAAGGTTGTCTCTGAACTAGGCCGGGCTTGAGCAAGAATCCGAGTCACAGTTTTTAAACTGTACCGTTTCCTTTGGCAATTCTTACAGCCTTTTTTTCTGATAATATGCACATATGTAAGGACCACGCCCATGTCGTATTCCCCTCTCATTATACTTGGTGACCTTGAGCGGGACCTCAGACATCATGTCTCTTACTATGGAACACACCGAAGCCCGTGTCTGAAAATACTAAACAGTGACACCAGTTACTTTATCTAGAGTTACGTTCACGTTTGGGGGGCATGCTGTAATGCTATTATTCTCGAGGATTGTCGATACTCTTCTTCTTGCTTGAAGGCATGTTCAGTCACGCCTCCGCATTCTTCTCTTTAAATGAAATGTAAAGAAAAAGATCGAAGTTTGCATTTTCCAGTATCCCAGCCCTGACCATCTCTACAACTGCATAACGTGTCCGTGACTTACGACGGGGACAGTTGAAACATGACTCGGGGGTAAACATCCCCTTTTTGTTCAAATGATTTTGAAATCATTGCATAAATTATGTGAAATATCCGTTTGGTAAACATGCGTTCATCCGCGTGACTGTTGATTTTCAAAACTAAAGTGTATGTTTGCTCGGTCTTGCTGTGACTAAATCGTAAACTCTAACTTTTCAACATCACAGCAACGCCACAGCAACAGCAGCAGTGCTGTAACATACCAGGATAGTTACATGTGATACAGCAACATCGCACCAAAATAGCAGTAACATAAATACAACATCAGTACGATCGCACCAACATTGGAGCGAGATCGCTGTTTCATCGGTACAATACCACAACAAGATCGATGTTACATCGGTACAATACCACAGGAACATCGATGTTACATCGGTACAATACCACAGGAACATCGATGTTACGTCGGTACAATACCACAGCACGATCGATGTTATATCGGTACAATGCCACAAGATCGCTGTTACATCGGTACAATACACAGGAAGATCGATGTTACATCGGTACAATACACAGGAAGATCGATGTTACATCGGTACAGTACCACAGATAGATGCCTATTACATCGGTACAATACCACAGGAATATCGAGGTTACATCGGTACAGTACCACAGATAGATGCCTATTACATCGGTACAATCCCACAGGAAGATCGATGTTACATCGGTACAATATCACAACAAGATCGATGTTACATCGGTACAATACCACAACAAGATCGATGTTACATCGGTACAATATCACAACAAGATCGATGTTACATCGGTACAATATCACAAGATCGATGTTACATCGGTACAATATCACAACAAGATCGATGTTACATCGGTACAATATCACAAGATCGATGTTACATCGGTACAATATCACAACAAGATCGATGTTACATCGGTACAATATCACAAGATCGATGTTACATCGGTACAATATCACAACAAGATCGATGTTACATCGGTACAATATCACAACAAGATCGATGTTACATCGGTACAATATCACAACAAGATCGATGTTACATCGGTACAATATCACAAGATCGATGTTACATCGGTACAATATCACAAGATCGATGTTACATCGGTACAATATCGAAACAAGATCGATGTTACATCGGTACAATATCACAACAAGATCGATGTTACATCGGTACAATACCACAACAAGATCGATGTTACATCGGTACAATACACAGGAAGATCGATGTTACATCGGTACAATACCACAACAAGATCGATGTTACATCGGTACAATACCACAACAAGATCGATGTTACATCGGTACAATACCACAACAAAATCGCTGTTTCATCGGTACAATACCACAACAAGATCGCTGTTTCATCGGTACAGTACCACAACAAGATCGATGTTACATCGGTACAATATCACAAGATCGATGTTACATCGGTACAGTACCACAGAAAGATCGATGTTACATCGGTACAATACCACAACAAGATCGATGTTACATCGGTACAATACCACACCAAGATCGATTTTACATCGGTACAATATCACAACAAGATCTATTTAAAGTGGCAGCAATACCACAGCAAGATCGCTGTAACATCGCAGCAATATGACAGCACGATCGTACCGAAATCGCACCCACATGACGGCGATGGTTCCAGTGTAATGTCAACCTGTGACCACGTGCTTCCACTCTAATGGCTTCAATGACATACAAAGTCAGCCAGATGATGCCTGATATTCATGATATTTTGACACCGTGCAAATTATTATTTTTTTAACGTTGAAAACAACGCCCAGACACCTATGGGATTCAAACAACAGATGTTGGCTGACGCTGAGGACAGAGGGATACGTTCAACAATGGCGCTATCCTTCACGATTAATAAATATTCACACTAATGTTTCGCTCCAGTCATCCCTTAAAATTTAGCTTCTGTTGAAGATTAGTATGATAACAGATATTATGTTTATATGCCCTTAGTACTCAAGTAATAGAATAAGGTATTCACCTCACCAGAACTCAGTCAATGGTAAATTTGCTAAATACTAGATGTAAATACTAATGTACATCTCCTTAAATCTGTTCCTGTTATTTTGTCACGTGAAACTGTACTTTGGCCCCGTCGCCGTACCACAGAATAAACTTCTACCACTACTACTATTGTT